TTAGATATAATAAGAATTTAATTATAAAGTCTGCCGAGAACCTGTATCATACGTAATACTAAGTAACTCTCCACATGCCCCTGTGCTAAAATAGCGGCATTTATGATACAATAAATCCTAAAAAAACAAACGGGGTGGGACACTTTGAGAGGGGTGAGAGAGACCTTAGGGAGTTTTGGTATAAAATAACATTCCCAAAAGCTCAGAATCTTCTTGAAATATCGCCCCGAAATGATAGTGTTACACACAGACAGATTGTATAAATTTACAACCTTGAACTTTACCTTTGACCTCAAAATCAATAGGGGTCTTCCTTTGGCCACAGGGAGTTGTTATGTAAAATTTCATTGCAAAAGCTCAAAGGGTTCTCGAGATATCTCACAGAAATGAAAGTGTTATAACAGACAGAATTTGCAAATTTATGACCTTGACCTTTGACTTTTTGACCTCAAAATCAATAGGGTTTTTTGTTAGATCATAGGGAGTTGCTCTGCAAAATTTCATTGCAAAAGCTCAAAAGGTTCTCGAGATATCATGTGAAAATGAAAGCGTTACAGACAGACAGAAAGACGGACAGACCAACAGACCCAAATTAATATCCCCCAATTTTCAAGCGGGGGACAAAAATTATGAACATCATAGGTCAAGGTTATGAATGTTCATGAATTTTTATGAAGACTAAAATAATTGCCACAAATGATCACCAGAAAACACTCATTACACCCATAATACAACTTTTGCATGTAGATGCAATCGTTAAACAAGCCCCTGGCATAATTAATAATATGTTTTTGCTTTGATTTTGAAAGTATGGAATTAGACCTGAGTAGGAGAACATAAGAGGTTAATAACTATTTTTTATTCTATGTAATTGATAACTTAGATTCTTCAGGATAATAAAACTATTATGAACTGTTTAGAAGGGAGATTATAATTAAACTATGACTATAATTAAACAAATTACACTGCATCATCATTGACAGCATTTTTTTCTCAAATTGAATTATTAATGTTTCTTCATCATTTAAATTAACCAGCTATATTGATATTGTGCTTTATATAAGCAAATTTTTCACGACACAACTTTGTTCAACCGAATTTTCTCTATTTGTCAAACTTTAAATAAGTTTATGAAACACTTACAGTCTAGAAAAAAAATCATAATCTTTGTAAAAACGTATCATATACTAGTATTTCTAAACAACTAAAAATCTAAATCATTATATCTCTTGTTCGTACTGTACCGTACTATTCCTTGGTCGAAACGCTTTATATTTTGATGCAGTTAAAAGTCATACTTTTCTGTGCATCGTGTGTAATTGAAACAGCATGGTTGTGAAGTATCCATGACATGATGCACATTCGCATTTTATAGTCTATTCTCCTACACATCTTCATAGCTCAGAATACTCAGTTTGAGGGCGAGTAGTGCCAAGAGATATTTGTTGTCCTCCAACCGCCATACTTGTAATGAAAATATGAAACTGAGGTGCTACATCAACATGTTTAATTGATGCTGTAAAAAATTCCAATTCATTTAATGATAAAACTTATATTGATTTTAAAAATTTTAATTTCAGTAAAAAAATTATTTAGATAGCATTTGTTATTTTTTGTTAAACAAAAATTTTGGGATTCAAACTATTTTTTTCTTAATTAGCTCTGCATTACACTTTTTAAAAGGTGCAAACTTGAAACGTGCGAGACGCTGGAAATGTGAATCGGTAGAGTGGGAGGATTATTAACATAGCCATTCTTTGTCTAACATTTGAAGAAAATAACAGAATATGAAGAAGGAATATCCAGATGATCAATTTACTTCATAACTGCAGATACAAAAATGTAGGCAAACACTGAATCAGATATCTGTCTGTAGATGTTACTGTCTATTTGTAAAAGTTATGTCTTTTTTAAATGAAAATTTTACCAAACTTTGCTTAAGAGTGGGGATCCAACCAAAGTAGCATACAATAACTAAAGATTGAGGCTCAAAACATTCATAATCCTGTTGACCAATGCACAACATGGTGGGTAAGGGAAACAGGCTAAACTTCCGCTCGGAATGCCTTCATATATGGCAGTGCTTATGATGCAGAATTAAATGAAACAAATATGCAAAAACACAATTAAGTCTTAAGTTTTCAAATTCATGGGCATTTTCAGAAAATCCTTGTTCTTGTAGGGAAAAGAGAAGCAGTTTACAGAGGATGTTGATGAGTTTAGATCAGAAGATAAGAAACTCTGGCTGCAAAAAAAAATCCAGGCTCTTGAAGAAAAACAAAAGAAAGAAATGAAAATACAAATAATATTTGATCAAAGGATCCAAATGATGAAATTCTGTAAATTCCACAGGGAAAGCCAATAAGAATTTTTTAATTGACCACCTCTGCTCAAAATCCTTGAAAGCCCTTTTTAGCTGATGCCCTAATTGCTAAACACACTTTTCTGCCTGACTGGAATTAAAAATCATTCCATTTTAGACATAAAAACACACTTTGAAATATGCTGAGGAAGGAACCCGCTCTCCGCTTGACCAAGTAAGGTTAAGGATTCTGCAAAGAGTCACCTTTGAATTGATTTTTTTTCATAAATTTACCAGGAATGAACTAAATAATTCATTTATTATTGTTATCACTTATCAGAGTTGTTTACTTGAACAAAGAATTTGTTGCCATCATTGGAAAAAAATCCTGTGGAATCTTTGAAGATGTGTATTATAAAGACAACTTTACAGTTTTTCATTTTGCATGACTTCATGAATTTTCAAAAATAAACATGAATAATAAATAATATTGCATTTTTTGTTTACAAATAAACAAGAATATTCATGAATAGTTTATGAACATTCCTAAATAACTTTTACAAATTATTCATGAACAGTTCATGAAGATGCAAGGAACTTATAATAATATAATTCATGAACTTTTCTTAAAAGTTCCAGATAAATTCATGAATTTTTCTTAAAAGTTCAAGAATTATTCTTGATCAATTTGCAGGCAATTAAAAAATTCATGAACAACAAACTATTCTTGTATATTCTTGAACTTGTTTTTTCATGAATAAAATCCATGAAATCATGAGTTTCCAATTTTAACTTCATATCATCTTCATGAACAATTCATGAGCAGATTCAAGAATATAGTTCATGAAGTTTTCTTTTAAAAGATCAAGAATTATTCTTGATCATTTGGCAGGGGTATGCACTTGGTTAGTTTATCAGGGTTTTCCAACATTTGAAATTTTACTGTGTTGCAGAATTTACTTGAAGCACTAAAATTCCGTGCTATTATTGCGATCAAATTTGCAACTGAATCACTATTCATTATTATTATAAAAGAATACATGCGCACACTTTAAAAAAAATAAATCATTAATTTGTTACACAAATGGTATATTTGTTGTACATATTGAAAAAAGTTAAAACACCTGTTTTGAAAAGCAAAGGAAATTCTGGTCGATACAGTCGAACTACTTACCCTTTTTGAAAGTAAATTTGTTGTAAGTTTTTGCCTTTTTTTGATCGAATTACCAAATCGCAAAATAAATAGAAACTTCAGAACAGTATACCTTGTAATACACTTAAGAGTTCCTTGAAGTTAAAACAATTTGAGTTGCATCAAGCAAAAAGGGACCTTTGTGACATAAACGTAATTACGTCACAATAGCGCTTCAACGACGTGATGTCTTATCTGTGCGTTTGCCGATGAAAAAATCCTGCCGTCACGAGAAAAGGGCCCTTAAGGTCAAATTTTCATAAATTGACTTTTTGGTAGATTCTGATAGCCGGACTCTTTCTGAATGCAAATATACATAAATTATGAAAATATCTCATTTTTTTCAGTATTTTATAAGCATTTTAGTAAGAGCGCACCAAAACAACTCTGACGTTACTCACGGAAAAAGTAATGACGTCGCCTGCGTCTAATTCATTTTCCGAAAAAAAAAATTAAATTACGTCATTTAAGTAACCTCAAACATTTTGAGGATTATAAACTTGATTATTTTTTTTCCAAGCGATTAGTATGTAACTATTCCTAAAGGATTTCGTATGTTATTACTATTTTATTTCTATTTTAGAGCAGATCTAGTAACTTCGTAAAGGTGGATGTGGGACTAGACTCTATACAGAATCTAGGAACGGTTTAAAATGTATCCAAAAATAATACTTAATTAAACCCACACAAATTATTTTTTAATTTTAAGTAATGTAGCTCAATTTATAAAAAAAAAAAATAAATCACTTGTAACATTTAAACATTAAAAGAGAGAGAGAGAGATCAAAAGGAAACTGCGCGCAAAAACGGCAATCGTAACTACTCGGCCATTTCCGAAATAGTATTTCTCTTTCTCGGAAAATGGCGGAGTATTTACGAATGGCAAAAACAGGACTAGCCTGGTTCCCTGTCCCTGTTTTGCTCCGTATACTCCGCGTCATAGGCAAGGATGAGCCAGGGGACCAGGCTAAAACATGACATCCCCATTCGTACGGAAATGGCCGAGTAGTTACGATTGTGGACATCCCCTCCAAAAAGCACATCCATCCTGATATTTTTTTAAAGTATAATTTTCGGTGATGAGTCCGCATTCATTCACAAACACACACGCACGTAGCTTAATTCTCTTTAAATTTTACGATAGGATTAAAACAAAAACTGTGTTCTCTGTATCATCGAAAAAATAAAATGAGAAATAAATTCAGATATGTAAACTTGTTTTTAAAAACGCTTATTCCGTTTATAACTATATTCATGAATTAAAAGAAATATGTTCGCTACTTCCATGAAGCGGATTTTACTTTTTGAAAATTTTAAAATGTTTAAAGCACCAAATTTCCATTGTTTTTAAAATTCATTTTCCTCGCCTGTTTTAGTTATGAAGTAGAAACATAATAAAGAGGCAAATAGAAAATAATGTGAAAGTTTTTCCTATGAATGGTTTATATATAAATTAACTAAACCTAAAATTGAATCTTTCTTTTAACTTCTTACTTTTTCAAGTAAATCACATTATTATACCTCCAATTAGAATGAAAGAATCTGATTGGTTGATGAGGAAACAATAAAATTAGCTTATGACCCATTCTTGTGTCACATGACCATTTATGACTTGATTGTTGCAGGAGTATGAGGTATTGACCGGTCATTAATATTATTGACCGCAGAACCTGACCTGTGCATTAAAAAAAAATGGCGGAACATATTACCGCTTCGTTATTTCTTCACGTTTACCATGTTTACTTTACTGTTTTTAGATAAAGACTATAACTCATTAACTTTACGTTATTCGTTAGAAATAAGATATAGACTATAACATTGTGTACTACGTCATTTCCCATGTGTGATTTGTCGTCTGTTTACGAAAACGATGGCTGGTGAATCAAGATTTGCAACTTTGAGTAGTGAGGAACTACAAGCGATCCTAGAGAACCGCGATAGTTCTAACACAAAACAATGTATAGATTCAGCGAAACGAATTTTCATTACATACTGCACTGAAAAGGGACTGATAGTGGACAACGTACTGCAAAAAACAAAAGGTGAAATTGCTGAAATTCTGATCAACTTTTACGCTGAACTCAGAAGAAAAGATGGTGAATTGTATAGTAGATCTTCCATGATCAGCATCAGGTTTGGTTTGCAGAGATTTTTCCAAAAAATTAACTATGACATTATTAATGACCCAGATTTTCGTCTATCAAACGAAATGTTCAAGGCAGTTTTGACAAACATCAAACGAACTGGAAAGGGAACCACTCAGCACAAGGAAGTTATCAGCGATGCTGACATGGCAACATTGTATAGCAGCGGCGTCCTAACCGGAAAGAGTCCGCAGGGGTTGCAGTATAAAGTTTTTCTTGATGTGATGTTCTACACATGTAGAAGAGGAAGGGAAAATTTGAGAAGTATGAAGAAAACTGATTTTGTTTTGAGGACAGATGGCCAAGGAAGGAGATACTATCTAAATGTCGCTCAGTATGAAACCAAAAATCACAGAGGAAGTGATGTTAATGACTATGATGCATCTTCAGCAAGAATATATGAAATACCAGGTAATAATACTTCAATTACAATCATTTAAATTAAAATTCATGTAAACTTCAGTATTAACTAATTTTAGATCATAATCTTCCTGAATTCAACTGCTTTACAATTTTTTCATGTTAATATGTTCATGTAGGTGATGAGAAGTGCCCTGTGTCTAGCCTGGAGAAATACCTTGCAAAGCTGAATCCAAATTGTGAAAGTTTTTGGCAGAGACCGAAGCGCCATATCAAAGATTCGGATGCTGTTTGGTATGATAATTCTCCAGTAGGTCATAACACTTTGGGAAATTTTATGAAAACAATTTCTATGAAAGCTGAACTCTCAACTCTGTATACAAACCACTGCATACGTGCCACGTGTATTACTAGTTTGGATCAGCGTGGGATAGAAGCTAGACATATCATGTCTGTAAGTGGACATAAGTCGGAAACCTCGATAAAAAGCTATTCAAGATGTGTAAGTGAATCCAAAAAGCAAGAAATGTTTGATGTTTTATCATCTGTGGTTTATCCATCACCAAAGCTAGGGCTAGAAAACCCAGTAGTTCCAACACATTCTAGTACCGATACTTCAGAAACTCAGCTCTTGGATTTAAATAACTGTGAACTTGAGACTGTCAGTACCGAAAAATTGCTTTCTGAAGTCCTGGTTGATGAAAATAGTTCAGATTTGTTTGTTCCAGAAGAAAAAGAGAATGTTAAAGTTGACAAAATGCCTCAAAACTCTTGTGGTCCAGTATTTAGAAATGTCGGACAAGTGCATATTCACTATTATGTAGGAAAGGAACAACAAAAGTAAAGATAATGTAAAGTTCTTTATTGGACTTTTGTAATCGTTAACGGTTGTTAAGATGTGTTTTTCGCATTTCAATTGAACAATCAAATTTGAAGTTATTGTTGCTAAAATTGATATTTCAGAATATGCATTATTCTGTTGAAACTGTTGAAATAAAATGTTTCATGTGTTCAAATTTTTCATTATCATTATTGTCGGTATAATAAAACAATTGATCACCCTTTATGAGGTCAGCATGGTGAAATGATGCCCCTTGACCTGACCCACTCGATGACCTGACCTGACCTCGGCCGTTGGCCTCGGTCAGGTCAGGTCACCTCGTGGGTCAGGTCTCAGGTCATCATTTCACCATGTTGACCTCATAAAGAGTGATTAATTGTATAATAAAAATCGGTTAGAAATATTTCTTCACATTTCACTTTCTTTTTTTTATTTTGATTTTCTGTGCCATGTTTCACTTGAACATAACACTTCTATATTTCTTACAAGAACCGCTACTTGGATAAATAAAAAATATGTATTTTGTATAATGTCACCAAAGAGATGGTTATCTGCACTGTTCGTGTCTATTTTCTATATAATGCACACTAAACGATGCTTAACTTTTTTGTGCAAAATTATAGTCCCATTACAAGTTTGACGAAATCGATTCAAAACTGAAACCGAATGAATATATTTTTACATTTTTTTTTGGGGGGGGGGGGGGTCACGGCCATGAAGGGTCATCTATTCATCTTCCTCCGTGACATCGGCTAACCTGCCACCTTGGGTTTTCACATTTCGATGCGATTGTATTAACCAATAATGAAATATTACGTCCAACACACGTTTCTAGTTTTTGTATGAGGCGATGCCGCATGCGGTTAAGTATTAATCTACCGCTCTCATTTTACATCTTTCTCCTTTATTTTTAGGCAAATTATTTTTTCTTACTTATTATTTCAAAACGTACTACTTTCTCGATATTTTGAAATTGAATAAAAAAAAACACTTGTTTTTTGTTGTTTTTTTTTGCCTAGCTTTCCCCACACAGCAAGGGGGAGGGATCAGTCAGAAAAAAATATTTCCCTGAAAAATTGTCACTTAAAAATGGGGGGTGGGGGCTGTCTAAACTCGGAAATTCAAGGGGGGGGGGTAGATTCAGACTCTTCACATCAAATTTTCCTAATCAAACGTTTTACAATGCCTTATTGTCTTGTCCCGTAGTGCGTGAATTTGAATATGCTGCAACAAAAAGTGGGGGGGGGGGGGGGGCAACTGGACTTTCGATGTACCCCCTTCCCCAGTTACTTGCGTGCGACGATACTGTATAATAGGCAATATTTTTCTTTAAAAGCAAGAATATTTGTGTTTGCTTATTAATTCTTTTCCTTAAAGCCATGTTAAGATTATGAAATAGACTTCAGAATTTGATTACAACGGAAGAAATTAATCTCGAGATATGCGGGGTATTTAGATACATGTATCAGAGTTGAGACTCAGCGTTCAAGTTTTTATTGAAAACTGAAAAGTGTGCCTAAATTTCATATCATAAATACAAAAGTCAGCATAATATATTTTACATTCATGAATGTTTTACACTTTTTTTCCGCATCTAACATCACCAGTGCTTACATTTTTTTTTTTATCTTTCTATAATTTAGAATTCTTTAATTTGTTGTCTAAGGTTTGATGTTAATGTGGTTCATGATTTAAACGTTTTCATAACTTTTGGAATTACATTCAGAATCTCTTGTTTTTCGCTTAATCTATATTGTTTTTATTTTTCTTCTGGTTTCTAAATATCCTCTTTCATAATATTACTGTCGATGTAAAATTGTTAATTTCTTCAACATTTGGTATAATGCTTTTGGGAAAAGTCTACGATACCTGTATTTAATTCCGAAATATATTGCAGTTCAGTTTCGAGTGGGATTCCATTTATCAGAACAATGTAAGAAACAATAGTAACTATACCACACACTTCTTCTTCATGTATTTACATGTATTTGATCATTTCAAATTAGATTTTGAAACAAAATTTATTTTTAGCAAAGTTTTTATGGCATCCCCATCCTCCGTATTTTATCCGCATTTATCCTTAGCATATTCTCCCACTTTTAATTCAATATAGAATTATTTATTGTTGTTGTAGAAGGTTTTAATCTCTCATGTTACAAGTACCTATATCCAATCAAAGAGGAGTTATTTATTTTAGCTTGAAATTTAACCGGTTGTCTTTTTACCGGTATTCCCAGATTTTTTTTTTGGCCTGGCTACATATCCCCCCCCCCCCGTTTTTTATCCACACATTTGAAAATCGACAGTTCATGTGGTCTTACAATCGGAGTACATCAATATGATAAACTATGGATTAAATTTAAAGAGCTTAACATTTTTGAATTATGGTATAAATTTTACAGCAAAAAGTAGCGTTTATAAAGAAGGGTAATATTATGTGTGGCTTGATCTCTCGCTAGCTCTCTCTGAAAAAAAATATACATGTGCCTGGAATATACCTTTTTATATTAAGACTTCTGAACATAAATCCAATTGAAGTATGTGTATGTAAATTCCTCAGAAAACAAATATGCAGCATCTTTAATTTAGTCAGGCATAGATTTTGTTTTATCGCTGTTACCAACAATGTGTATGTCCAATATCGCTTATATCAACATCAAGTTACATACTTAATTAAATAGAATTACGAATAAGTGAATTCACGTACTAAATAGTAATAATTTTATAATATTATATATTTAAAAAATGTCCGTATCAAATACACATAGAACTTTTATAACACTTTGAAATCCAGTTTTATTTCTTGTGTACGAAACGTGATAGTCGACAACATTTACTTCCGTGTTTACAATACCGCGACTTTGACGTCGTTTTCTGAGCATTGTGACGTCAAAAGATAAGGGCCCTTTTCTCATGACGGCAGGAATTCATATTAGGAAAAAAATATGAATGCAGCAGCTAAGAAACTGTCTGTAGCCATGTCATAAAAGATGAAGCGGCGAAACCCATACGGACTTCCGTATTTACTCATTATATGTAACATGTTGGCGCATCACTCGGAGGTTTGAAAACTGCATGACGCAATAAAATGTGAAGATAATAAACAGTGGTCATTTTCAAAACTAATTTTTTGTGATCTTGTATTCATTGCCTAAATTAATTGAGATAAATTAAAACTAAACACGATAGCTTTAGGTAAAGCTGAAGTTTAGAATTAAAGAGCGAAATAACTGTGTAGGTCATGTAAAATCAGATGCATGAAGGCCATTAGTTTGACTTTCTGATTACTTCAGGCAAAAACAGTAGTTCCAGACTATAAATATGAGCACATCTTGAGTTTATAATCTTACATAATATGTAATGAAATGGTTTGATTAACCCCTCCCCCTTTTTTTAGAGATGTGCTAATGTTTGTTTTTATTACTACGGAAACAGGAAAGGGAAGCCTTTCAAGGATTAATTCCGATTTTTTCCTTTTATTCTCTCTTAATTTTTTTTTTAGTTAATTTATTATCGTTTTGATTTTGCTCGTATTTTTTTTATTCAACCACAACCACTTTGAAAACACGGGTACATACACCATATCCCCCATCCGTCTAAATAAAATATCGCTCATATGTTAAATCAATGAATTAAGTAGCGGATCATTGTCTTGAAATTCACATCATGAATAAAGTTTTGTAGATACTACTCTGTATTCTTTCTCAATTGTAGACGATATTTGCAGAGGCTCATGATCATTTGATATTTAGGAAGCTGTGCACTCCCTTTGTTAGTGCTGCCGAAGAACTATCTCAATTTACACATACTGCAATTGCATTATCAATGCTTATATTTACGAACCCTTTTTTCATGAACGAATAATTTTGCCCCATGACTCCCTTTTTATCTCTGTAAAATAACCTTTTCCACAAATGAAGTTAATTCTTTCTATATGGTTATTATGCATATGATTGAAATTTTTTTTTCCAATCAGGAATGAAAGAAATCTTGACATTTCTTATTTTAAGAATCACCCACCTTATCATAACCTGACCATAAGAAAGAAAAGTTAGGACTTTTAAAAATTAAAATATGTTTTTTAAATAATATCTTACAATCATAATTAATTTGTAACTTTTTTTTGGGGAGGGGGGAATGTAATTGCGTACACATATCACTCGGAGCTCCTCGAATGGCTCGTGTACGAAGTGTAGCAGAGTAAGCCAAAGATTACCGACTGTGCACATTATGCATAATGAGATCTATCAAAAAATACAAAATGCAAATAATTGAAACTTTTGCTTACAATCACATGCTGAGAATAAATTTAAGGAAATTTCTAGCGATGACAGCGTGTATGCAAATATTGTATACGTACTGTTTTGATTTTCAGAGGAGAGACCCATTTCACACCATTTTAACATATATTAGCTGCAACCATAACGCTAAAGATCAGCAGCTAAACATATATTGTTTTGTTCTCATTAACACTGAATATGAATTTAACTGATTATTTAATTTACATGTATGTAAATGTGTATGTACTTCTATATTCAAGTAATATTTAGATTGTACATCTGTAAGCTAGAATGTCATCTGGACCCTGACTTGGTCAATAAAATATTGCAGGAAGCAACATACCAACTCGTGAATAGGTGGCACATAAGAAAAACTTAAAACAGGTCAATTATACATTAACCATTTTAGAATACTCTGAAAGTCAAATTTAACGTCTGACTTTGAATTGTGATGCATCAAGCCTAGATATACGAGGGTTGTCCCGTAAAATCGTGGACAAGTTGTCTAGTATAAAAAATAAACATCACTGCGTTCTGAAATTTTCGCTATTATTTAGTACATATTTTAGTAATATACACAGCAAATTTCAGATAAATATATGCATAAAGAAACAAATTATGAGATTTTATGCCATGAATTGTATCACCTTACGGCGCATGGATTATAACGTCAAAGTGTCTAAAACAGCGTCACATTTTATCTTTGCTGAAAATGAAGTTGGATGAGTCCCACTTAAATTTAGGAATTTCATTG